ACCCTGTAAGAGGAAGCTTTGTCTTTATACTCACTCCTCTTACCAAAAACAAAACCAAGAGTGATGAACATACCCTGTAGGAGGAAGCTTTGTCCGTGAACTCCTTGCTTTTCTTCAGCGACTGGCGCAGTCGTTGCTTGACGATCTTCAGCTGGACGTGGTCCTTCTCTTGAATCACCAGGACGAAACCTGGGGGGGGGGATGGTTGGTTCAACGGTCAGTGGTTGGTTCAACGATCAGTGGTTGATTCAACAGTCAATGGTTGGTTCAACGGTCAGTGGTTTGTTCAACGGTCAATGGTTGGTTCAACGGTCAATGGTTGGTTCAACGGTCAGTGGTTGTTTCAACGGTCAATGGTTTGTTCAATGGTCAATAGTTTGTTGTTAGTTTTGAGATGCTTAAGTTTTATGAGAGCTTCTCTCTATCTCTCACTATTTCCCTGTCTCTTTGCTTATTTGTCTGTCTGTTTTTCTCTGTCTCCTTGTCTCTCTCCCTCTCTCTTTCTCTCTCAATCTTTCTCTGTCTGTCTGTCTGCCTGTCTATCCGTCTGTATGTCCGTTCCCCTCTACGTCTCTGTCTCTGTCTCTGTCTCTGTCTCTGTCTCTGTCTATCTCTCTCTCTCTCTCTCTCTCTCTCTCTCTCTCTCTCTCTCCCCCTCTCTCTCTGTCTGTCTCTCTCTGTCTCTCTCTGTCTCTCTCTGCATAAAGCAGATGAGAGTTGTTTTTTTGTCCAACATAAGCAAAAGTCAAGATAAATTCCCGCCAAAACTGAACATTACATTTGCCTCTGTCACAAAACACAGAATCAAAACGTGGCTGCCTTAAATTGGAAGGCAAGGGATTCTACGAAGTAGAAAAATTGGGCACATGCGTCAAAAAATATCCCGTCCCACTGCAGGTTGAAAAAAACCCAACAGTGTGTTTCTCCTGAGATCTCGCCAGGGAAGGCAAAGAGGACGGAAAGAACACAGGGAGACCTCCACCATCTGGGAGCGAACAACAGACGTGGCAAACATTCAGCAAGGGAGCCAGCCAAGAAAGAACTATATATAGCGGTACCTCTGACTTGAAGCCATACTTTCCCGAGGAAAGTATCGCTGCTTTGGGAATATTGTTCTATTTGAGAATTCTGTGGACTGAGAATTGTGGACTTGAGGAGTGTGAGGAAGAGAATGGAACAACAGTGTGTGGTGAAGTAGGGGGTGGCTAGGGGGTGGCTAGGTCGTGATGCTGTGTGCTATGTGTTCCTGCACATAATAATAATTATTATTTTTAAAAATAAAA